CCTATAATCCTAGCACTCTGGGAGGCCAAGGTGGGCAGATTGCTTGAGGTCAGGAGTTCGAAACCAGCCTGAGAAAGAGTGAGACCCCGTCTCTACTATAAATAGAAATTACTTGGCCAACTAATATATATAGAAAAAATTAGCCGGGCATGGTGGTGCATGCCTATAGTCCCAGCTACTTGGGAGGCTGAGGCAGAGGATTGCTTGAGCCCAGGAGTTGAGGTTGCTGTGAGCTAGGCTGACACCAGGCACTCACTCTAGCCTGGGCAACAAAGTGAGACTCTGTCTCCAAAAAAAAAAAGGCAACTTCAAGAAACAACTGGCTACCTACCTGCAAGGATCCTGGTTATCCCTGTCCTCTTCTTCAGCCCCTGGCCCCAAACTGAGCATGGTACAGTGCTTGGCCACTCCCATGGAACTTAGGACTCTAATGAACAATCTTTGCTCTGGAACTCCCTATTGGGCTGACAGAGACTTTGTCATGTCTGCATCTCAGTTTGACAGCTCTCTCTGCCCAGTTCTGCTTTCTCCTTCCTTTCCTTTTACAGGTATTACTCCAGTAAAACTTTTGGAATCCTGTCTCAGCATCTGCTTCTCAGAGAATTCACCCCTGAAAAAGGTCCAGATTCTCTTGGGATGTTTTTCTGTCTCACAAACTCCTGCACCTGGGACTCTGGTTACCATTCCTGAACTTCTTTGTCAACCAATGAATATTTTTCTCCTGATCCTCAAAACATATTTTACTAGTCTTATTCTCAATTAGGCCCAACTTTGACTTCCATTTACATTTCCTTGTCTTTTCTAACTTTTAGTAACTGTAGATTGGCTAACCCTCATGGACATTTTGCTTTTGGTCAAATAGTAAAAAACTGAGTATGAACAAGATTTAATAAAAAAAACCCATTCAGCCAAAGAACCAAGTAAGCAATGCAGTATTTGGCCAGTACCATGGGTGTTGCAATAATGCATTGCTATGCAAGTAACCATTTCAAAACTTAGTGACTCAATATTTATGTAATTGCTTATGATTGCATGGATTGCCTGGGTAGGCCCAGATAGGATGGCTGTACTGAAAACATGTCTATGTTTCATGTGGTGAGGGCTGGGCTCACTCAGGCAGCTTTGATTTGGGCTAGGGGATATAAGATCGCCTCACTTCTGGCCCTCAGATGGAGGCTGGAATGCTGGACCCTCTGTCCTTTTCTTTTATCCAATAGGGGCTCTCTCTCTCTTTTCAAGTGTTCTCTCTTATCAGGGTAACTAAACTCCCATGAAGGGACAGGGCTCCAAGAGAACAAAAATAAAAGCTTCACGGCCTCTTAAGGACTAGGCTTTGGAATTTAGGGAATATCACTACTGCCACATTCTGTTGGCAGAAAGAATTCCTTTATTTGTAAGCATATGCTAAATGGCCCTCCTGTCCTTCTAAAATTTGCACAATTTATTACTATAATAATTAACCCAAAGTGAATGTGAAAGTAAAGACTTCTCTGAGGGTTGCCTTTGATTTGGTTGACTTTCAAGAGTACCTTTGCTACTTCCTCATTTTCCTCCATATGTGAGGGGTGGCAATCCAGACTTTAGGTATCCTAAATTCCATCAGAAACTGAATCTCTTCCACTAGAAAATTCTTCCTTTCCTAAAAAAATTTGCTTATGATGATGTGTAGGGCCTTGACCTTTGAAATCCTGTCTTTAGGATGAATCAACTTCCTTCATCTTCTGCAAGGTTATATCCAATACTCTCTTTCTCCACTAAGATTATTTAATCTTACTGCTGTATAATTTATATATATTTCATTTTTATGTGTTAAAGACCTTGGAAGAACAGTGATTTTATAAAATGAAGAACACAATAGTCTGGTTTCTCTTCAGATTGTATAAATCTTTCACCTTTTACTAAAATGAAGAACACAAATTTGTGAACAATTAACTCTAACAATTCAATAATACAACAACAATGGGAGTATCTCACTTTAGTAATAATACATATCTAAATACAGGGTCTCCTAGCACTCTGGGAGGCTGAGGCGGGCAGATTCCTTGAGGTTAGGAGTTCGAAACCAGCCTGAGCAAGAGCGAGACCCCGTCTCTACTAAAAATAGAAAGAAATTAATTGGCCAACTAATATATATAGAAAAAATTAGCAGGGCATGGTGATGCATGCCTGTAGTCCCAGCTACTCGGGAGGCTGAGGCAAAAGGATTGCTTGAGCCCAGGAGTTTGAGGTTGCTGTGAGCTAGGCTGATGCCACGGCACTCACTCTAGCCTGGGCAACAAAGCAAGACTCTGTCTCTAAATAAATAATAAATAAATAAATAAAGGGTCTTACAGGATATACCCCAAATGAAAGAACAAAAGCAAAAAGACCCCCTTGGTAATTTTCCTGGGGGCAACTGTTAGATCCAGGTTATTGAAGGAAGCAGAGACCCTAAGTACAGCATTCTGCTTGGGTAACCTTCCATGACCTCACATCGGGTCAACTCTCTCAAGAGTATTTCAGCTGAGGAAGATAGTACTATTATGAGCCTATATTCATTTCTGTGTCCTCTACTTCAATGCTCATGTAGAAAGTCATACATCTCAAAGATACTGTAAATTCTCTACTAAGTAAATTAAGTTCAGAAATGAATGAGATGGAAATGAATATTTTGATCATTACTGAATCTCTACAGTACCTAGCACATCATAGTCACTCAATAAATGCTTGCTGAATAAATGGGTGAAACTGTCACATTCCAGTAACATATGTTTCTTCTCAACAGCCCTCGTATTCACCCCTTCCTTTCCATTACTATCCTTAGCCCGCTTTTAGTTTGTTAAAATTCTTATTTGTTTCAGGAAAATCCCAGTATAGGATAGAAAAACTGCCCTCCAAGCTGAGATGGTGCAGAGAGACCAAAGAAATGGCTCAGACCAATTCAGCTTGGCAAGTTAGATGAGTTTATTAAAGATTACTTACATAGGGCTCTCATTCCTGGTCAAGAAAGGAATCCTCTGGGCACTCACTCCTGGGCAGTAGCAGGAGTTCTTTAGAGAGTAAGATCCACACTGCCTGTCCAGTTGAGGAGCCTTGAATTTCTTTCTGGTAAGTGACACGGAGCTCTCTCTCTCTGCATCATTGTGAATTTACATACAATATAGGATTAGCATGCACAGTACTTCCCTTTAGGTAGGGACTTTAGTGTTACAATTAACTAAAGGGTACTAAGGCAACTAAAGCAGCTTAAAACAGTTCAAACTTGTTTTAAGACTTATGTCCATCCATGCAAAAGGAACCACTTAAGAATATTTTACTTATTTCTGACTTCATTTCCTTTTAAAAAAAAAAAAAAAGAATATTTTACTTTGTATTTCTTTAAGCTTTTTTGTTTCGATCTATATCTCTAAATTCAAAAGAAAACTTCATGGAGTTCCCATGAAACATTAAAAGTCAGTGGTGGGGAACTTATATTTTTCCCTCATCATCAAACAGGTAGATACAATGGACTACTAACCATTTTCTCTGTTTCCAAACTCTTCTTCCTCCCCACTTTAATCCATGTAGAACACCAGATTAATCTTAAAACATTGCTCTTCACAAATCCTAAATGTTCCCTGTTGTATTCTGGAATACATTGCAAGCTCTTTGCTCAGGTGACATGTACCTTCTGCAATCTGGCTTAAATTGGAAACCTAAATTTTCTCCCAATATTCCCAAATATAACTCTTTATGTTTAGGCTGGGTATAGGCCAAGGTGGGAGGATTGCTTGAGGCCAGTTCAAGAGCAGCCTGAACAAGAGCGAGACCCCTAACTCTACAAAAAATAGAAAAATTAGCCAGGCGTGGTGGCACATACCTGACTAGTCCCAGCTACTCAGGAGGCTGAGGCAAGAGGATTGCTTGAGCCCAGGAGTTTGAGTCTGCAGTGAGCTATGATGATGACACTGTATTCTAGCCTGGGGGACAAAACAAGACCCTATCTCAACAACAAAAAAATCTTTATGTTCTAGCAAACTAATCTGGATTAGCAGAACACACATCATGCTTTCGTACCTCTAGTTTAGATTTTTGCTTTTATCATCTCCTTGGCCAGGAATTCCTGCCTATATATTTACTTACTGAAACTCTAGCTGTCACTTCAAGCCTGAACCTTGATACCAGTCTTTTCAATGCCTTCCTGGATTATCTAGCTTGAAGTTCTCTTCTTTGCAATCACGTTTATTTTTAAAGTCTGTATATATGCTACTTTATGTTGTAAAGATAGTTCAATATTAATTAAACTCCTTTACTCAACCGTAAGCTCTGAAATCAGGAGCCATGCCTGTCAAACTATTTTTATGAAACATTGTTTGGCATCAAGTAGACATTGGATAGTTCAGTGCTTCCCAAGTGTTTCCATTCAGGTGACTCCATTAAAACAACTTGTATTTATGTTTACTATACATAAAGAAAAGTGCACATACCAAAATATTCAGCTTAAATAATTTTCACAAATTGAATACCCTCATGCAAACAGGTCCCACAATAAGAAACAACGCAACCAGAACCTCAGAAGCCCTCTTAGTACCCCCTTATCAGGACTCTATTTTAATCAATTACACGTGATACTTGCGTATTTAGTGTAAGAGTGAGAATATGTATGTGTAGACCTTTTATAATATCTCCTCCATCAGCCCTTCTCACCCCCTCCCCCACAAAGAAGCAAGCGCGTGCCCTCCCCTATCCCCTTGGGGACCAGTTATAGGGGTTTTTTTGGTGTGAACGAATGCATGGAGACATGAACCTACAACACGTTCAGTAGAAAATGTAAGTTAGCACGAAACTGTCAAAAGGAATTATTGATCCTTAATTTTAAAAATCCATATTACACGTAATGCACTCTGCGAGTGCTATCTTAACACGGATTAATTCTAAAGACTCGTTTCCCAATACTCAACATGGTCGCATGCGCGTCTACAAGCAACATGGCCACTCTGCCAGGCACCAACATGGCAACCACAGCCTCACTGCGCACGGGAGGGCTAGAGCGCTCCCACGAGGAATATGTCCGCCATACGGCCAACACCTAACGTGGCTCTTTTTACAGCCTCCAGGCGAGCGCGAAACCGGAAATGACTTTTCCGTCTTGCGCATCTCTGGGGATCCTTTTCCGGTTAGCCTTCGGGAGTCCGCGTGAGAATTGGATGTTTCCCTGAGCGAGGGCTGGGAGGTGCTAGTCTGCCGCGCCTTATTCGAGACGCGTCAGGTCGGGAATACTAACATGTCGGACACGTGGAGCTCTATCCAAGCCCACAAGAAGCAGCTGGACTCCCTGCGGGAGAGGCTGCAGCGGAGGCGGAAGCAGGACTCGGGGCACTTGGGTGAGGCACTGGAATGTCGGGCCGAGGGGCTGTTGGGGCCGAGAGTGAGCCCAAGAGGGCGGGTGGGAGAAAAAGCTACCAAGTCAGTGACCTTTCCCAAGCGGCTATTTCTTTAATGTCTCATACACTGGCACCCCCTCTCCCACCTTAGCAGATCTTCGCTCTCCTGCAAGTAGTTCGTGGCTCTCCCTCACCCTGGGCCTCGGTTCCTCCAGTTCACTTTGATCGGAAAGATGCTGGAGCCCCACCCGCGTCCGCCTGGCCCACTCCTCAGATTGTGAGAACGTCGCCCCCTTTGTGAGACCTCTCAGCACCTATCCCGCGAAGCAGCAAGTCTCCCTTTTTGTTGCTGCTGTGGCGCTTTGTTTTTCCCTAGGTTATAGCGACTGCTTTGCAGTGGTCATTTCTTTGTGGCTGTGGGCACAGTGAGGAAGGACCAAACCTTTATATCCACAGTGCCCACTTTAGTGGCCTGTACAGAGTTGGCGCTCGGTGTTTTCTAAATGAGCAAGGGAACTGGCATTGACTTAACCATTTCCATACCTAGCAAGAATCTGAAAACGTTTGTTTTTAGTCTATAAACTTTTTCTCCCCTCCCGTTGCCACCTTTGTCTCAGTCATAAAACCCGAAGGAACTTTAAAAGATTGTCAAATACTGCCCTCCTCCCCCCCCACAAATCTTGAATTATTTAAGGCAAATCAATTACAAAACTCTGCAAAGATAGTGAATCTATATCACCTTGTGATAGCTTGTTCCAATGTTTATCAGTATATTAGACTCCATCTCGAAATTTTGTTTTGATCGTATTAGGTGTATACGCTCACATGTTGGCCCCTGGAACTAGAAGATGCACTAGGAGGATACTCCCACTCTAATTAATAAGCATTGAGTATCTACAGTGTTCATGAGTCTAGCTAGACAAAAATAAGTAAGACATTGCTCCTCCCCTTAATTTAAAATTTAGTTGGGAATCAAGGGTAGATGCATATAAAACCAGGAATAGTAAATCTAAAGTACCAAATGAATCCACAGTTAGTACAGTGAAAAGAGAAGTAACAAGAACTGATATAGTCAGTGAAGCTGTCATAGTGGAGTTGGCACTTGAATTTTGCCTTGGTGGCTGTATAGGACTTAGATAATTAAAGAGAAGGTAGGAGGGCAAGGTAGTAGGGAAAGAAGTGCAAGTCATAGGATCAGGGAATAATTAGTAGTCAAGCTTTGGAGTAGTTACTGAATTACCCAAGAGGGAGAATTTTTTTTCTTACTATATAAACTTCAGTTCCTTTGACTTCTTGTTGTAGATCTAGTTTTCTGGTTTTTTTAAAAAAATATTCTTTGGAACTTTTAATGTATCTCTATTTTATTAAACACCCCCCCCCCAAGATAAGATCTTTCTTGCTTTTGTTGCACAGGCTGGAATGCAGTGGCTAAATCATAGCTCATTGGAACCTCTAACTCCTGGGCTCAAGCCATCCTCCCATTTTTAGTCTCCTGAGTAGCTAGGATTATAGGCACTTGCCACCATGCCCAGCTGATTAAAAAAAATTCATAGTGTCTCACTACATTGCCCCGGCTGGTCTTGAACGGAGCTCAAGCCATCAGCCTCCCAAGGTGATATAGTATTACAGGTTTGAGCCACTGTGCTCCATTGCAATTGCTTCTTAATTATCATAAGCTTCAGTTACTGGCCTTAAGTATCTTATCACCTTTTTCAAAAACAGCATTCTAGAAGGATATGATTACAGGCATTTCTATTATATGTGCGTTACTGAAAAATCTTGCTTTCTGGGAGTGCCTGCATTAAAAATAGCAGATCTTAGAGAAGAAATAGTTTTAGAAGCCTACTCAAAACCTGTGTAACTTTGTTACTAGAGCCCATACAATAACAATTCTACTAAAAACAATAGCATAGTTAAATCTCCACTGACATGTCTACCTACAATGAAAGTCATTACAACTTTGAAGCCATGGGCTTCTACTTCCTGCTGCCATCAGTCTTGTTTTTGTTTGGGAAATGTCTGTGCAGTTTCTTCATCTGGACTTGCATCTTTCCAAGTAGCTTAACATTCTCTAAGCCACTAAACTAGTCACTTTGATTTTTTTTAAAGGCGTTCCTGTAGGATTCTTACCTTTTTTTCTGAAGGTGCTCATATATTGACAAAGTTTGCTCTTTAACTGTGAGAAAACTTCTGACTACCTCAAAACATTAACATGATGAGAAAAATCACATATAAACCAACAAGCTTTCCGTGTTATTCCGCCATTCCGTTATTTATCAATTGTATATCAGCTAATTTGCATTGTAGTGAAACAGATTTTATTTGGGTAATATATTAAAGAAGTCAGAGAATCATCTGTTTTGTGGAAAGTCTTGTTTACTACCTAGGTCCTTAAAATGATCATCACGTATGCAGTAGTGGGTTGTGGGCTATCTGGGGGAGTTGCTCAGTCAGAAGAAAAGAAGGGCTAATGGTCCCATACTTTTATAATTAGAAACCCATGGAGTAATAATTTTCAGTGTATGCATTTCAGTAAGAGGTAATGTAGCCTTATTCTGTCACCTCATTTGTCCACATACCTAGAGCCTTTCTTAGCATGGAAGAATGCAGTACCTTGGATAGGTTCATTGCTTCTAAAGATACTTATTTAATTTTATTTATTTATTTACTTAGAGACATGATCTTGCTATGTTGTTCAGGCTGGAGTACAATGACTATTCCCAGGTGCCATCATAGTACATTACAACCATGAACTCCTGGGCTCCAGCGATCCTGCTTTAGCCACCCTAATAAAACTACAGGCTTGTGCCACCGTACCCAGGTATATTTATTTAATTTTGGTATGGAATAGATTATTTTTCCCTTCAGCAATAGCAATTGGAAAAGGGAACTTGAGGATTCAAGTAATTGTTTCAACAAAGTGATCTACAAAATTAACTTTTTAAAAGCCACTATATCAGTGTACTACATCCCTGATTACTTGGTGTTCACTTTTGTCTTTCTGTCATTTTTGTGATAAGCTGTCTTCTACATGTTTGTTTGTTTTTTGGTTATAATTGTTCCTTATCATACTTTATGCTTTTCCATTTCATACTCTTTCCTTTTTTTACCTTTTTTTTTTCATCAGAACTACAGCTCAGAATTTAATACTCTTTAGATGGATGATTCTAATTGCTTTTGGTCATTTTAAGTTTCATTTCATTTTTCTCTGATACTAACCATACTTTGGTATTAACTAAACTTTGCGATATATGCAAACCTAACTACTGGAGCCTCGATACTTTTGTCCAGGTCCTTGCTAAACATGTTTAGAAATTTTGGCAAGACTGTATTCCCCCTTAAATATAATGATTCTTTTTCAGATGTATCTCTTGACTTGTACATCATCTAATAATATGGTTAAGACTTTTACAAAAGTAATTTTGAGGTTGTGATTAAACATGTATTGTCTTCTGACCCATAGCTTCATCTAGCCCATCATTTGCTTCTGTTCTTTTGATTATTTCAAAGAATATAGTTCTTTGAGCTTTAGGATTCTTAGGAAAACATTGTGAAACATACTCTCTTAGTTTATTAATCATGTTGTCATGTAAGATATAACCAAAGAGGTTAGATGTGGTGGCTCACACCTATAATCCTAGCACTTTGGGACACCAAGGCAGGAGGATTGCTTGAGGCCAGGAGTTTGAGATCAGCCCAAGCAAGAGCAAGACCCCATCTCTATAAAAAATAGAAAAATTAGCTGGGTATGGTGGCATATACCTGTAGTCACAGCTATTTGGGAGGCCGAGTTAGGAGAATTGCTCGAGCCCAGGAGTTTGAGGTTGTAGTAAGCTATGATTGTGCCAGTGTACTCTAGCCCAGGTGACAGAGCAAGTCCCTGTCTCTGTCTCTGTTTCTCTCTCTGTCTCCCTCTCTCTCTCTCACACACACACACACACACACACACACACACACACAACACAACACAACACAAGGTATGCACCTAGCAGGGGGCAAGCTGCCAGCAACCAGGCAGCCCTTCCCATGGGACTACCAATAGCACCCTGTGGGAGCAACACCTGTGTCCTGACCCCCCTCCTGGAAGGAGCACACTGTTACAGGGAGGGAGAGGATCCAGGTGCCCAGGCGGGGTTTCCAGCCTCCAGTGCTCCTGTCCAGATCCTGCCCAGCTAGTCAACAGGAGTAGCTACCTTCCCATTCCTTACCACATTCAGCTGAAACTAATATTTTTTTTTTTTCTTTTTTAAGACAGAGTCTCACTTTGTTGTCCAGGCTAGAGTGAGTGCCGTGGCGTCAGCCTAGCTCACAGCAACCTCAAACTCCTGGGCTCAAGCAATCCTTCTGCCTCAGCCTCCAGAGTAGCTGGGACTACAGGCATGCGCCACCATGCCTGGCTAATTTTTTCTATATATATTAGTTGGCCAATTAATTTCTTTCTATTTATAATAGAGACGGGGTCTCACTCTTGCTTAGGCTGGTTTCGAACTCCTGACTTAGAGCAATCCGCCCGCCTCGGCCTCCCAGAGTGCTAGGATTACAGGCGTGAGCCACCGCGCCCGCCCTGAAACTAATATTTTTAATTAAATTTTATTGATGACTTTCCTGCTGTGAAGAAAAAAAAAAAAGATCTTTTATCCAAGATTTGATAAAAGTTCAGATTATTCAGTTCTTTTCTCACAAGAAATACAAATTTTCCTACATTTTTGTTTTTATAACAGTACTGAAATTTGATTATTATTTATAACTGAACTCATATGTTAAAAGAAAAGGATATAAAATGAACCAAATTATATCCACATTATTAATAATGCAAAATACTATGGGCAGAGAATCATTGGGAGACCTTTGTTAGTTTGAAATAGTGGAAAATACTCAGTAATTTGGTATTCGTTTTGATCATGGACAATACTCGCAAGTTATTTTCATTTAGGTTACATGGGCAAGAAATGAGGACAATATGTGAAATTAAGATGTAAAGGTATTGTCTCTAGAGAGTTTAGGCCTTGATTAACAAAATAAAACTCATGCTAATGACAACAGCACTATACTACAAGGTGCTTGGTATAATATTTGAACATAAATTAAGGGGGAAAAGTAGATCATTTATGGCTTACCTAAAATATTGCAAATTTTATAATCTCCATAACAAAGTATAAAGTCAATATGCTGAGTGTTGATTTAAAACTTACATTTTCCTTTTGCCTCCATTTCTATTATCAAAATCTTTAGTTCTATAATTTATATGATCTGTTATTCCCTTTGGTATACTTATGGGTTTAAAAGGTTGATATATGATGTGTAACACTTAAATTTGTGGATTTAAAATCTGAAGTCCTAATTTCAAAATGCCTTGTGTTGTTTTTTTTTCTTTTTTACCTTAATGAAATTTATCATTGATTGTGCTTAGGTTGCTCAATGAAAGAAACTTTGGTTACTTTAAAGAAATTAAAAACTTGACTAATAAAAGAAAGCTCAGAGTTTGAGCCTGGTATAAATATTTTACTATACTTAGACCATAAAGGCATTTTAGCTAAAATTTATTAGACTTATAGGATTTGTGAATTTTGAGGGATTTCAGTAATCACCACCAGTCTAGTTCTGTTCAAGCCAGGAATTTTGTTTATAGTCTTCCAAGTAAGCGAAATAGTAATTGTCCCTTACCATTTCTTACATATTTAACTTAGATCAGTTAGTCTTAAACTTTTTGTCATCCAAAACTTCAGAGTGCTTCCATGACCCTTCCTTGTGTACAACACCTCTTTATCAAAACAAAGAACCTATTACCAGTTCAGCTGGCAAAAGTTCCAGTCTAAGATTCAGCAAAACATAAAGGAATGATAAGAAATAAGCAAAGTGAAGAAAGTTCTATCAATAGCTAACATTTCCAGCTAGCATGGAATTGAGTCTGTTTTCCAAATAGGGTATCATTTATTTTCATAAAATGTAACTATTCTAGTAAAGTTCTTGGTGTTCAGCTACCTTTTCTTTGGAACCTCTGAGTTAGATTTACTAAATTCAGTTCCATTAGAGTGGAAATTTCAAAAATATTTCTAAATGTAAACTAATAACGACCCACTTACATGATCTATTTTATTTAACAGAATTTCAGTCCAAGTCCTAAGAGTTTAATTTTTCAACTGTATTTTAACTAAATAACCATAGATATTAGGCTTTCTCAAAAATAACATTTTATCCTAATATGAGCTTCTTAAATCTTATTAATGTTATGATGGCTGTCCCAACTTGTGTAGTAATAGTAGAGGATAAAAATACACAGTAAGAAGATACCATTTGGTGACCAGGGCTTCATCAAAATATTGTAAGATTTGTGTGTTTATGAGTGGTTCAGGGCTGGGTGCAGTGGCTCACACTTGTAATTCTAGCACTCTGGGAGGCCAAGGCGGGAAGATTGCTAGAGCTCAGGAATTCGAGACCAGCCTGAGCAAGAGCAAGACCTCATCTCTACTATAAATAGAAAGAAAATTGCCAAAACAACTAAAAATAGAAAAAATCGGCCGGGCGCGGTGGCTCACGCCTGTAATCCTAGCACTCTGGGAGGCCGAGGCGGGCGGATTCCTCTAAGTCAGGAGTTCGAAACCAGCCTGAGCAAGAGTGAGACCCCGTCTCTACTATAAATAGAAAGAAATTAATTGGCCAACTAATATATATAGAAAAAATTAGCCGGGCATGGTGGCTCATGCCTGTAGTCCCAGCTACTTGGGAGGCTGAGACAGAAGGATTGCTTGAGCCCAGGAGTTTGAGGTTGCTGTGAGCTAGGCTAACGCCACGGCACTCACTCTAGCCTAGGCAACAAAGTGAGACTCTGTCTCAAAAAAAAAAAAAAAAGAAAAAAGAAAAAATCAGCTGGGCACAGTGGTGTGTGCCTGTAGTCCCAGTTACTCAGGAGGCTGAGGTAGGAGGATCGCTTGAGCCCAGGAGTTTGAGGTTGCTGTGAGCTAGGCTGACGCCATGGCACTCTAGCCCAGGCAAGAGAGTGAGACTCTGTCTCAAAAAAAAAAGAGTGGTTCAGGTCATCTTGTACACTCTCTGATGACCAGTGGTCTTGATTCATTAAAATTCAAACTATATACCTGAAAGAGATAATCTGATTACAGCTTAGGTTATTGAAAATATTAATATTTCTGGTTTTTATTAAAATTTAGGTTGATTATAACATTTGGTGTGAGAGAAGGGAGGTGGTGGGGACATTTAAATCTACTGTGCTGCTAATTCCTTCGAAGCACAGCAAGGACAAGGAATGAGGAAAACACCTCTCACTCAATAGAGAAAAGGTAGGCGGTTCTAAGAAAATCCAGGATTATCTTGGCAAAGCAGTGAATGCTTGAGTTTGAATGAGGAAAACTAATATAGTGCTAAAGTTGGTTAGAGAATTTCCTGTATAAAATAAAAGACCCGTGTACTGGGAATGCTAGATAATTTGACTTCTGAGGAATGTTAGACTTGACAGTGGTTGCCCTTTTTCATTTTTACTTCTCTTTATTCTTAGATTTACGGAATCCAGAGGCAGCACTGTCCCCAACTTTCCGTAGTGACAGCCCAGTGCCTACTGTACCCACTTCTGGTGGTCCTAAGCCCAGCACAGCCTCAGCAGTTCCTGAATTAGCTACAGACCCTGAGTTAGAGAAGAAGTTGCTACACCACCTCTCTGATCTGGCCTTAACATTGCCCACTGATGCTGTGTCCATCCGTCTTGCCATCTCCACGGTAATGACCTGATAAAGTTAGGATCTACCACTTATTTTCAGTTCATGATCAGTGTCTTATTGCTTTCTCTTCTCTTCCTTCTCTAGCCAGATGCCCCTGCCACTCAAGATGGGGTGGAAAGCCTCCTACAGAAGTTTGCAGCTCAGGAGTTGATTGAGGTAAAGCGAGGTCTCCTACAAGATGATGCACATCCCACTCTTGTGACCTATGCTGACCATTCCAAGCTCTCTGCCATGATGGGTGCTGTGGCAGAAAAGAAAGGCCCTGGGGAGGTAGCAGGGACTATTGCAGGGCAGAAGCGGCGTGCAGAACAGGACTCAACTACAGTGGCTGCCTTTGCTAGCTCTTTAGCCTCTGGTCTGGCCTCTTCAGCATCAGAACCAGCCAAGGAACCAGCCAAGAAATCAAGGAAACATGCTGCCTCAGATGTTGATCTGGAGATAGAGAGCCTTCTGAACCAACAGTCCACTAAAGAACAACAGAGCAAGAAGGTAAGGATCATATGGAAATATTTTCATAATATGTTTTTAGTTACAGCTGTGATCCAGAAGGATTTACCCTTAGGGCAAGGAGTAATTCTTAGAATTGAAGGTTTAAAGCAGTAGTTCTCAACTGGGGTTGATCCCTCCAGCCTCCCAAGACACCTGGCAATGTCTAGAAATCTTTTTATTGTTATAACGTAGGTAATACTACTGGCATCTAGTGGATAGAGGCCAGGGATGTTGCTTAACATCCTACAATGCATAGTAAGGATAGCCCCCCACAACAAAGAATTGAAAAGATTATGTGGCTCAAAATGTCAATAATGCCAATGCCAGAAAACCCTGATTTCAAGAAGCTGCCATTGAATCTGTTTGGAAGACTCAGATTAAGAGAAGAGGAATCCAAATATAGAAATACAGTGATATGAATGGAGAGGAATCTTAGAAGATAGTCCTGTGGACCAGTAATTACCGAAATTGATGATTAAACAATGCAGATTGGTTCTGAGTATAAGTATTGGACTGACATAAGTTCTCATCCATTTGCTACTTCTAGTTGTGTGAGTTTGAACAAGTTAATTAACTTCTCTTGAGCCTTAGTCTTCCCATTTGTAACGTGAGGGTAACCATAGTATTCTTCCTTGTAGAGTTGTTGAATAGACTCGTGATCTAAACAGTTAAGTATTTGGCATCGTACCTTAGCAAATATGTGTTTTTTGTGGGAAGGAATGCTTTCTTGGGAAGGGGAAGATTAGCTTAATGCTTAGCAGTAGAAACCAGGCCTCTTGCGTTTTAATTTCGTCCTAAATGTAGATTTGTGAGGAAGGACTGAACCCCTGACAAATTTCTTATCCTAAGGTTCCAATTTTCTGATGTTAACTTAGCTGATTTATCCCTTATAAGACATTACTGTTGAATAGAATTTGCAGAGATAGTTTAAGAGCTAATTTGATCTACAAACCCTTTTAAATTCAAGGCTGCTTCTGTCACAGGTCAGTCAGGAGATTCTAGAGCTATTAAATACTACAACAGCCAAGGAACAATCCATTGTTGAAAAGTTTCGCTCACGAGGTCGGGCCCAAGTACAAGAATTCTGTGACTATGGAACCAAGGAGGAATGCATGAAAGCCAGTGATGCTGATCGACCCTGTCGCAAGCTGCACTTCAGGTCTCTTGGGAGGGAATGACATGGGATGGGTTTCCCAGGAGCAGTCATGACTTTCAGCATATTTCTTCCATTCATTGGAGTTCTGTCTGTAATCCTATTATTTAGTTTATGGTTTGTCTAAGTCCTCTAGGCTATAAAGTTATACTTTTCAGAAGTGACTCTGTGGGAAGGAATACAGCCTGCACTCCCAAATAGATGTGAGATTTTTCTTAAAATGCTCCCTTCTTCTTGCAATAGCAAGGCATCTGTCTCTGAGCCACAATGAAAAAGTTAAAGTTCTCTGGAAGGAAGATGATCTTAGGAGAAACAGGAACCTGAACTCTTAGGTCAGTATTTTATTCTGCTTTAACCAACCAAGTCCTTCCTGTACTGCTTTCCTGCTTGTGGTAAGAGAGGAAACCAAGTATTTGCTCAGAGAGACATTATAATTATTCCTTAGTGTTGATTATGGATTTCCATGTCACCTGCCTCCTTTCCCTTAAAACTCTTAGAGGAAGCTCTAACAATAGAATCAGGGGAGAGCAATATAAAACAAGAAATTTTGAAACCATTTGGAACTTGAACTGTGAGATCTGCCTCTTAAGCACCATCCTGATTCTGGTTTTCCCTTATTTCCCCAGACGAATTATCAATAAACACACTGACGAGTCTTTAGGTGACTGCTCTTTCCTTAATACATGTTTCCACATGGATACCTGCAAATATGTTCACTATGAAATTGATGCTTGCATGGATTCTGAGGCTCCTGGCAGCAAAGACCATACCCCAAGCCAGGAGCTTGCTCTTACACAAAGTGTTGGAGGTGACTCCAGTGCAGATCGACTCTTCCCCCCTCAGGTACCTGTCTGCTCAGAAAACTCATCTCAACTTATAGACTTATATTTGAGTAGGGCAGTCATACATGTAGGAAAGCAGGGCATAAATCAGCCATCTGTCTTGCTGATTGGGAATGGAGTGGGATAGATATGCTTATAAGGGAATAGGAAAATCAAATGCAACAGAGGGACTGGGGCCATGAATCTGAGAGTGAAGTAAGGGAAGATGACCAAATACCACCTTATGCAGTGGATCTGTTGTGATATCCGTTACCTGGACGTCAGTATCTTGGGCAAGTTTGCAGTTGTGATGGCTGACCCACCCTGGGATATTCACATGGAGCTGCCCTATGGGACCCTGACAGATGATGAGATGCGCAGGCTCAACATACCAGTACTGCAGGATGATGGCTTTCTCTTCCTCTGGGTCACAGGCAGGTAATGCAGTTCAAAGATATGTAAGTTTGGGCAGATTTAACACAGAATGCTGGGTGGGAGATGAAATTCTAGATTTTCCTAGCCCTGCTCTTAAATGTATGACTGATTCAGCCTTTTTTCCTACTGAGCCCTGATGCCTGTTTATAACACAAATGATACCTCAAATTATATTTAACTCTACATTGTTCTTTGAGAAAGGTAAAGTCATTGAGAATAGATACTATGTTTTATGTTTTCATTCTTAGATCCACCCTGTTGCTTTAATGGTATCTTGCACGTAAGCGTTCACTGACCCAAATGTTTATAACATGTCAAATATTTTATAGGGAGAAAAAATATGGGCATACAAGTAGTTAAGTCTTGTTTCTTTCTAGGGCCATGGAGTTGGGCAGAGAATGTCTAAACCTCTGGGGGTAAGTAGCAGTTGTGTTGCTTTCTTTTGAGGGAAAAACTTACTGGTATAGTGGAGAGATACATGTTCCCTTCTCCCAAAGTTTTCCCTCTGATTCCTTGCCTTGTAATGTTACTGCCTCTAAACTGTGAAAGCCTGGTTAAAGCTCCAGTTCTTTCTTATGCCTCAGTTATGAACGGGTAGATGAAATTATCTGGGTGAAGACAAATCAACTGCAACGCATAATTCGGACAGGCCGTACAGGTCACTGGTTGAACCATGGGAAGGAACATTGCTTGGTGAGCAGCAGTGGGGCCCAATTCAGTAGGTGGAACATAAAGAGGGATTCTTTAATTTATTGAGAGGTTCAAAAGCTGTGGTTTCATAAAGTAATCTGTTTTCTATGGTGGGAGCAGGTTGGTGTCAAAGGAAATCCCCAAGGCTTCAACCAGGGTCTGGACTGTGATGTGATCGTAGCTGAGGTATGTGCTTCCCCATGAATCTAAAGCTTCTGCATTTTCATTGGCATCAGTTATTCATGTCAGGTATATTCTCATCCTATGTTTTCTCATTTGGATCATAAACATAATAGAAATGGCTAGAATTGCAATCTTGAGTAATTTAAAAAGTAGCTAGTCTTTATTTCCTAGGTTCGTTCCACCAGTCATAAACCAGATGAAATCTATGGCATGATCGAGAGACTATCCCCTGGCACTCGCAAGATTGAGTTATTTGGAAGACCACACAATGTGCAACCCAACTGGTAAGGTGACTAGAGAGCAGGCTAGTTCCTGGGGCAAAACTGTTTATGGTCAAGGTCAGAAGTTAGTAGAGTGACCCCTCACATTCTACTAGCTCTTTAATTCCAGGATTTCTGGTTTGCCCCTTCTTTTCTCATTTTAGGATCACCCTTGGAAACCAACTGGATGGGATCCACCTACTAGACCCAGATGTGGTTGCACGGTTCAAGCAAAGGTATCCAGATGGTATCATCTCTAAACCTAAGAATTTATAGAAGCACTGTCATACAGAGCTAAGCATCTGTAGTTATGGCTCTGCAAGCTAAACTTGAAGAGTAATATTTGTACAATAACTTCTTTATTTAAATAAACGTTTATATTGTAATTGGGATTTCAAGGTCAAATTCTGGCTCTGCCACTTTAACAGTGTGTGATTCCTTATAGGTAAAATAGGAATACTATCTACCTCACTGGGTTGTGAGGGTTCAAACTAAATGAATGCATGGAAAGCATTAAAATGTTGATCATCATAAAATAGGACAATATAGATCAAAGTGATTAGTTATGAAAAGGGTTTTCAGGCCAGGTACAGTGCTCATGCCTGTAATCCTAGCACTCTGGGAGGCCAAGGTGGAAGGACTGCTTGAGCTCAGGAGTTTGAGACCAGCCTGAGTAAGATGGAGGACCCCCCCCATCTGTACTAAAAATAGAAAAATTAGCTGGGTGTCATGGTGTGCACCTGTAGTCCCAGCTACTCAGGAGGCTGAGGCAGGAGGATGTCTTGAGCCTAGGAGTTTGAGGTTGCAGTAAGCTACACTGATGCCACTGTACTTTACCCAGGGTGACAGAGTGAGACTGTCTCTCAAAAAAAAAAAAAAAAGAAAAAGAAGGGGGTTCTCTAGGACAGCATTTCTCAAGGTAAGAATTTGAGTTTCACTTAAGGTTATCACCACTATGACTATCGTACTCTAACTTTTGCTTATTCTAATACAACTATGTGGGTTAAATAAGTACCTAGGTATGAAGAAAATTGGCCTATATATTATCTAAGTGAAAACATCTTATCTTTAAGGATGTAGAGTTCTGCCTCTTATACTCATAAACTGTGATAATTTGTGATAAGGATGTTGACTGCAAAGATATTATTTGTAAAGAGAAATAAATAAGAAACTCCTGGGTGATGTCATTTCCCCTTCAGCCCAGTGTGCCTGTTGTGTTGAAAACCTTTGTTCTCAAAGCAGTGTATTGACATGACAGTAGTTTCCTGTTTTAAGAGGGGTTCTCAATGTAATCTCTCAACCCTTTTAAAATGGATGCACACAGTGGCAGTTTCTCCTAGGCTCAAAGCTGAGTACTCTCCCATCATTTTAATAATATTTTAGGCAAGTCCTATGACAATTATACCAGTAAGTTTACTCAAACCCCCATCACCCCTACCATCCCTATGTTTTGCTTGTCCATACTCCCTTCACCCTTTCTTCTGCTATTATCACTGGCATTTCTGCTTGTAGTTGAAAGGAATAAGCAATTCCAGATTATAACAAACTCAGTGGCCCTGCTTCATGGCCTCTGCTGAAAGGAGAAAAGGGGAGGAAGTATGAAGGGCCATCCTGGGTTGAGATCAGGCACTACCAGAAGCCAAGCTTGTATTTCAAAAACAGGCTCTTGGTCATGTTCCCAGCAGATAAATCTTCACTGGTTTGGAGAGTAGGAAGGACTATTTTACAAACACCACAGTGTTTGAATTTCTGGAGGCTACCCAGGCCAAGAATACATCCCTAGGAAAGAAAAAGATACACATCAACAGAATTACACATGAAAGAAAAACAATTACAGACTGGGTGAGGTGGCTCACGCCTGTAATCCTAGCACTCTGGGAAGCCGCGGTGGGCTGATTGCTCAAAGTCAGGAGTTCAAAACCAGCCTGAGCAAGAGCGAGACCCTGTCTCTACTATAAATAGAAAGAAATTAATTGGCCAACTAACATACATATAAAAAATCAGCTGGGCATGGTGGCACATGCCTGTAGTCCCAGCTACTCGGGAGGCTGAGGCAGAAGGATTGCTTGAGCCCAGGAATTTGAGGTTGCTGTGAGCTAGGCTGACACCACGGCACTCACTCTAGCCTGGGCATCAAAGCGAGACTGTCTCAAAAACAATTACAGCCTGGATAAATTCTTTTTAACTGTCTTAAACAGATTCCCAGTTAATTTCTTGTAGCATCAAGGTGAGACAGCATTACCTCAGTAATATAAGAACAAGAGGCCTAAAAGTTAGAGGTAGAGGCAGTGCTAATCTACTGAAGACAATCTAAAGGAAATACAAATGCCTTGTTTCATAGAAGTAGGTAATTTCCAGGAAAATTTGAAAAGGATAAACTGTAACTCTCCATTCCAGCATCTTACTGTGCTACTTTTCACTTTTCCATTCCTCTCCAAATTCTCATTCCCTAAGTGGTCTGATTTGCACTAAGGATTGAAAAGCTAGGCCAGGGGCGTGGTGGCTCATGCCTGTAATCCTAGCACTCTGGGAGGCCGAGGCGGGCGGATTGCTCGAGGTCAGGAGTTCGAAACCAGCCTGAGCAAGAGTGAGACCCCAACTCTACTATAAAAAGAAAAATAGAAATTAATTGGCCAACTAATATATATAGAAAAAATTAGCCAGGCATGGTGGTGCATGCCTGTAGTCTCAGCTACTCAGGAGGCTGAGGCAGGAGGATCGCTTGAGCCCAGGAGTTTGAGGTTGCTGTGAGCTAGGCTGACGCCATGACACTCTAGCCTGGGCAACACAGGGAGACTCTGTCTCAAAAATAAATAAAAAATAGAAAAGCTAATATTCACTATCACCAACAGCTTAAAGTATCTTCATACTTTTAAAGATCATACACAGCATGGTAAATGATAACTGAAAAGCACGAACTGCTAATTACATCATCTTTGACTATGTGGGAAATATAAGGTCTTTTTAAGCAAGCAGGGGAACTTCTAATACTAATAGCCTCTCTAATCAGATCATATATATACCAACCTACTCTACCTAAGGTAAGGTGACACCAATTATATGCTCAAGGTTACCATGGTTCCCAACACAGTTAATTTAGCAATATTTGCATTATAAGAAGGAGAACTGTAAGCTCACCTGCAGTGCTTCACCACACACTCATTGCTGCAGTACTCATTGTCCCAGTCCTTACTCACAACCGGAGGGTTCTCACAACCAGACCTCACACATCGAGGCTGGGGTGAGAGTGTCCCAGGAGACTCACTCACCAATTCCACATCCATTGGAGGAGACTCAACCTGTGAAATAAAGACAGCACCAAGGGTGAATTAATTACTCCCTGCCTCGCTAATGAACCAGTCAAATTATCCCTAGGAACCAGTGGAGCAAGAGGTGTTATAATCCTTCACAAATGGGGGTAAAGTTTCAGAATGTGGTGAGTTTTTGGTGTCCCTCTCTACAGCCCAGCTTCAGAACTTTGCCAAGCAGGCCAACATGAAGATTCTTCCCATCAGGGGAAGACTCGGCATATGCTAGTGCTCTTTAATTTTAATCTAGCCCATTATTGACTTTATTCTGTGCTTTAATAATATTCCTCTGAAAGTATCAAATCAAAAGAATGTAAGTAAAGGTTGAGTCACCTCAACTAAGCTAGATGGGGAGGGCTAACTAAGAGAGGACAAAATGTGGTGCTATTAGAAACAGGAACATAATTTGGAGATTTATAGTTTCCTGCTGATAGGGTGTGTGTGTGTGTGTGTGTGTGTGTGTGTGTGTGTTTCTTCTTTTAAATGATTGCTTCCTTAATTGTAGAACTCTACAGTCTCAAACACACCCATATTTTAAAATGACTACTGGTCATGTACAGGTTAAAGAAAACTACAGTGCTTAGCATCTGTTTGTCTTTAAAAGACTTAATGAACCAATTAAATTTTCTGGTTATAGTCCCCTGCCCACACACATTTAAAACATTAACCTAAGCAGTGGAAACCAAGGAGAAATGAAAGGATTTATACTTCCAAAGTTTAGGATCCTTAGGTAGAAAACTAAAAAAATAACTGCTTAGGCTATTTCCTCTCTAGGTGAACCAGTGTTACCTGTGCTTAGTTTAAGTAGTGGTCTGGGACAGGAGGCCCTCTTTAATGTTTCTCACCAAAAACAGAGTATCCTGGGTGGGACAAGTCACTCTGGCAGGGAACTCTCATCTGCAGGATATTTGATACTCTTGGTTGCCAGGCACTAAATAAATGCTAGTAGCAACCTCCACTTGTATCAAGTCAACCAAAAATGCTCTTATACATTTCCAATGCACTAGAGGAAAGACTTAAAAAGAGGCTCACCTCAGGAACTACATCTGTGATCATCTCACAGATTGTCTCAGGAGAGGTGGCCTCCACTGTATGGGCCTCAGGGCTGTTGTTCATAGGCCGCTCAGGACTACTTTCAACAGCTGGTGGGACTAAGGTAGTCTGCATTTTCAAAGTGGGTAGAGGCACAATCTTCTTGATCTGCAGAGGAGGTGGCTGTTGCTGTAAGTTGATTCGAACTTTTTGAGGTGGAGGCTGTTGCATGGCCTGGAGTGGAGGTGGCTGCTGCAGAATGGTAACTTGCTGCTGAGTAGGGGGCTGAGGCATCTGTTGTAAAGGAGGGGGCTGTAGTCGAGGTGGAGGCAGTTGCATAGATGCAGCAGCTGCTGCTGCTGCCTGCAACACTGACCGAGTGACAATCTGGGCTTGCTGACTGGGCTGGATAGTAGCTGTACTGGTTTGGCCTAGTTGGAGCCCCCGCGAGGTAACCACTGTGGCTGGGATAACAGTAACCATCCCTCCTTGAGACATAGTAATAGAAGAGGGCAACATCTGTTTGGTAATAATCAATTTGGTGATATTGGGCTGACCCCCAGCCCCAGAAGATGCCTGGTTTGCCACATAGGATGAAAGAGTGGAGTTAACAACAATGGAAGGGGACAGGGCAGGGGGTTCTGTTGAGGCTGGAGCTGGAGATGCTGGGTCAACAGTAGCCATAGGAGGTGGAGAAGGAGTCTGTGATGCTGGCATTGGATCCAACTCCACTGTTTCTACAGTGGCCTAAAAGACGACAAAAAAAAAAGTCATTGGGAGGTTTACTGTCTACCACAGGATATATTCATAGTAATTATCTCCCAAGAAAAGATACATCACAGATTTTTTAAAAGGCAGCAGCTGTGGGTACTACCCTGGCTTAAGTACTCACTGGAAATAATGAATAAACTCAGAAAGACTGGCAAGGTTTATATGATGGAAACAGCAGGAAAACTGTTACATACTTTTTATAAGCTTTTAAAACTACATAGTAGTAATAGGTTCCACAGGATTTTGGTGGTATTTTCTTACAACTACTAAAAAGCAGTTCACAAAATTTCTTACTGGTTTAAATATCTATCTACCCTAATGCTCTTACCTGACACTCTTGGTTGTCTTTATAAGCAGCCAGAGCCTTCAGATACTCTTTCTTGGCAGCTTCAGTTTTCCTCTTATACACCTACAGGAAAGACAGACTGTTTAAAAAGTCCTCTTACTATTATAAAAGATAATTCTCTATTATTCATCAACAAATAACAATTCATCTCAGTCTAATCACTGCCAACCCCTTTTAGTGGATATATTTCTGAAAACTAACAGTCAAGGCAGCCTCCATGGCAGACTTACTCCACTAAGCACGCTTCTGAAAGTGACCCAACAATTTGAGTCTGCAAGAATAACTACATTTCTAAAGTGAACATCACCCCATGCTCATTTCTGTTACAAAAATAAAGCCTGACCCTGAAACTTACAAGATCAGTAGTCTGCTTAGCCTGGGACTATGCCTAACCAGTGTACTATCCCTTAAGAAATGTGGTAAATTGCTTGCAAAAATGGCCACAAGAATTCTTCTCATCCTGCATGCCCCTTCTCCCATCAAGAATTGAAGCCTATTTATTTCCCCTTTCTTTGAATCTGGGTTAGCTCTGTGATTTGTTCGGTCATTAGAATGTGGCTGAAGTTACACTAAGACTTAAAAGGCTTTGAAGCATCTGTTTTTGTGTTCTTGGAACATTGCTCTGTAAAGAAGCCAGTCTAGCCTGCTTAGAGGTTAGAAGGCCACATGAAGGAGGACCAACGTGTCCTAGCAACAGGTAGTATGAACTGCCAGATGTAGGAACAAAGCCATCTTATTCAGCCATACCAGCCATCATTTGATTACAAACACAGAAATGAGCCCAGGCAAAAATAGTAGGAAAACCACCCAACCAACTCACAGACTCATGAGAGATATTAAATATGAAGTGTCCAATTTCAAATCTGAAGTGTAGTTTATTACAAGCAGCGGTACAATTAATCAAAGTATGTGTCTAAATTATCAACAGTTTTGCCATCTTATTGGTAGCTTGTTTATGCCAGCAGCAAAGAAACTTACAGAGTGGTGATGAAATACAAACTGACACCATTAGCTTTTTTTGATGAATATTCAGTTTTGCACTGTGTTTTTGCACTTCATCTTTATCCAACCATTGTGCTGAATGCTTGCAACTGTCAAAAAATCCATTTTTCATCACACATAATATGGTGTAGAAATGGTTTGCCTTTATGTTGTGATGGCAAAGAAAGGCAAACTTTGAGACTATTTCTCTTCTAATGCTCATTCAATTCATGCAGAACACATTTATCCAGTTTCTTTATCTTGCCAATTTGTTTCAAATGGTCCAATATTGTTGGAATTGTAATGTCAAACCTTGCTGGTAATTCATGAGTAGGTTGAGATGGATATGCTTCCACTAACAGCTTTGAGTTCATCATTATCTACCTTGGTCTCAAGTCGCCCATGTGGCTCGTTTTCAAGATTAAAATCACCAGAATGGAACATCTCAAACTGTTGAAGAACTGTGTGTTCATTAGCCACAGGCTTACCAGACACTTTGTTGATATTTCAAGCTATCTGCATTGCATCGGTTTTGCAGCGGAACTCATACTTGAAAATTCACGAATTTTTGACTTATCCATAGTTTCACAAAAATTGCTCTAAAAAAATTTGAAAGAGGCTGGGCGCGGTGGCTCACGCCTGTAATCCTAGCTTTCTGGGAGGCCAAGGCGGGCGGATTGTTTGAGTCCAGGAGTTCGAAACTAACCTGAGCAAGAGCGAGACCCTACTATAAATAGGAAGAAATTAATTGGCCAACTAATATATACAGAAAAATTAGCCGGGCATGGTGGCACATGCCTGTAGTCCCTGCTACTTGGGAGGCTGAGACAGTAGGAGTGCTTGAGCCCAGGAGTTTGAGGTTGCAGTAAGCTACACTGATGCCACTGTACTTTACCCAGGGTGACAGAGTGAAAAAAAAAAAAAAAAAGAAAAAGAAGGGGGTTCTCTAGGACAGCATTTCTCAAGGTAAGAATTTGAGTTTCACTTAAGGTTATCACCACTATGACTATCGTACTCTAACTTTTGCTTATTCTAATACAACTATGTGGGTTAAATAAGTACCTAGGTATGAAGAAAATTGGCCTATATATTATCTAAGTGAAAACATCTTATCTTTAAGGATGTAGAGTTCTGCCTCTTATACTCATAAACTGTGATAATTTGTGATAAGGATGTTGACTGCAAAGATATTATTTGTAAAGAGAAATAAATAAGAAACTCCTGGGTGATGTCATTTCCCCTTCAGCCCAGTGTGCCTGTTGTGTTGAAAACCTTTGTTCTCAAAGCAGTGTATTGACATGACAGTAGTTTCCTGTTTTAAGAGGGGTTCTCAATGTAATCTCTCAACCCTTTTAAAATGGATGCACACAGTGGCAGTTTCTCCTAGGCTCAAAGCTGAGTACTCTCCCATCATTTTAATAATATTTTAGGCAAGTCCTATGACAATTATACCAGTAAGTTTACTCAAACCCCCATCACCCCTACCATCCCTATGTTTTGCTTGTCCATACTCCCTTCACCCTTTCTTCTGCTATTATCACTGGCATTTCTGCTTGTAGTTGAAAGGAATAAGCAATTCCAGATTATAACAAACTCAGTGGCCCTGCTTCATGGCCTCTGCTGAAAGGAGAAAAGGGGAGGAAGTATGAAGGGCCATCCTGGGTTGAGATCAGGCACTACCAGAAGCCAAGCTTGTATTTCAAAAACAGGCTCTTGGTCATGTTCCCAGCAGATAAATCTTCACTGGTTTGGAGAGTAGGAAGGACTATTTTACAAACACCACAGTGTTTGAATTTCTGGAGGCTACCCAGGCCAAGAATACATCCCTAGGAAAGAAAAAGATACACATCAACAGAATTACACATGAAAGAAAAACAATTACAGACTGGGTGAGGTGGCTCACGCCTGTAATCCTAGCACTCTGGGAAGCCGCGGTGGGCTGATTGCTCAAGGTAAGAAGTAAGGAGTTCAAAACCAGCCTGAGCAAGAGCGAGACCCTGTCTCTACTATAAATAGAAAGAAATTAATTGGCCTTTAGGATCACCCTTGGAAACCAACTGGATGGGA